ATGCTGTGCTCATGATAGTTAATAAGTTCTCCTGATATGGTTTATATCTGTGGTTTAAATCTGATGGTTTAGAAGTGTGGCATGTTCCCCCACCCCATCTCTCCTGCCACCATATAAGACATGTTTGTTTCTCCTTCACCTTCTGCCATGATTGTAAGTTTCCTGAGGGCTCCCAGACTTGCAAAACTGTGAATCAATTAAACCTCCTTTGTTTATAAATTACCCAGTGTCAGGTAGTTCTTTATAGCAGTGTGAGAACATATGAATACAGAATCTGTATTAATTTGCTATGGCTGTGAAAACAAAGTACCACAGACTGGGTGGCTTAAACATGAATTAATTTTGTCACAATTCTGGAGGCTGGAAATCTGCGATCAGATTGTCACTGGGGTTGATTTCTTCTGAGGACTCCCTCTTTGGCTTGTAGATGGCATCTTCTCCTATGTTCTTACATGGTCTTCTCTCCATGTCTGCCTGTTGTAATCTCTTCTTAAAGAGACATCCATCATATTGGACTAATGCTCCTCTTAATTATCTAATTTTAGCTTAGCTTAACAACCTCTTTCTCTCTCTTTTTTTTTTTTTGTTGGACACAGAGTCTTGCTCTGTTGCCCAGGGTGGAGTGCAATGGCGTGATCTTGGCTCACTGCAACGTCCACCTCCTGGGTTCAAGTGATTCTCCTGTCTCAGCCTCCTGAGTAGATGCATGCCACTATCCACCATGCCTGGTTAATTTTTGTATTTTTAGTAGAGGTGGGGTTTCGCTATATTGGGCAGTCTGATCTCAAACTTCTGACCTCAGGTGATCGGCCTGGCTCGGCCTCCCAAAGTGCTGGGATTACAGGTGTGAGCCAACATTCCCAGCCTTAGACTACCTCTCTTTAAAGATGCTACCTCCAAATACATTCTGAGGCACTGGGGGTTAGGTGTAAACTTGTACCTTTGGGGGAGGTGCAATTCCTCCTAGAGCAGATTTTAAGAGGAAATCTGTTTTGGGGGAATCAAGTGTGATAATAAAAGTCAGAATACAGTTAACTTATTTCTGGCATTTGCTGAAATAGTTACATTTCTCCTAAGTCTTCAAGAAAAAGATGTGGTTTTCTTTCCTAATTAGTACCAACTGTGATGACTTAAATGCCTCCTCAAGGGATTGTTTGGCACACTCACTAAACCTTTGTTAGACCACCAGGCTACCTCTTGTTAATATTCATGTGATTTGTGCTCTGAGAGTAATACATTACCTTCTCTTCAGCTAGGTAAAATTTGGGGAGAAATGTGATGGGAACTAGCAGGAGCTAGTGTTGATGCATTTTGCTATTATGTGCTTTTTCCTCTTTCTCTCTGGTATATAATTGAAAGAGTCAATTTTCATGCACATTTTGTAGCCATGATGCTTAGAGGCACCACCTTCTCTGCTGAAGCAGCCATAGGTCAAGCCACAAGTTGTTCAGGAGATATTAGCACCTCTCTCGCTGTACACAACCTGAGCACATGAAAAGAAGACACTGGTCAGCCTGAGAAGAGGCCCAGGTCAGTGAACCTCAGAAGTCTCTCTATGGGCACTATGTGGATCCATGCTCACTCACTGCTTAGCAGTTTTGGATTTTCTTTCCTTTGGTGAGGAGAGAGGTTTATTGGTAAATGAAATTCAGTTGGGTTTTGATATTTATGTCTCATGAAAGTTTTGATTGAACTAGTTACAAGGCTTTGAGACTAACAAGGTGCAGGAGTGTTTACCAGCCCATGAGTAATGTGGAGTTGTAACCCTTGGAAAAACTCTCTGTTCCCCACGTGACTTATCATGATCAGAACCAGGAATGACTATTGGCATCTTCAGGAATCAAAGCTTGAAGCCAGAGAGTTTTTCTGGAAATTGGTGTTGCACTGTAACCTGTGGTGTGGGGCGAGGTCCTTAAATGAGGAAGGACTTGATATTCCACCAGAGAACTTTCACTGGGTTACTTAGGAAGTTGCTGAGGCCTTTGACTTCTAGCACCCTAGATGAAGCAGAAAGATAACTGGATTTGGACTCAGATGCTAGCTGGACCACTACTAATTGCGTGAACTCTCCGAGCCTCAGTTTCTATACTTGAAAATAGGGATAACTCATAAATGGCTTGGGTCATAGAAGCAGCTTAGTAAATACTTGGAGACTGAATGAACACTTCCCTCCTTAACTCAGTTCATCCTCCCTCCATCCTGCTGCCTTCTAGTTCTTTGTCTCTGTCTTTATCAAAAACACTTCTTAGAGATGGTTTCTTTAGATATTAATGTATTTTCACGTAGATTTAGCATACTGTCATCCATCTTAGGGCTATCTTTAATCTGTGTCCTTTACTATGAAGAGAAAATTCTGTGTCCTCTTAAAGGGTTTTAAAGCATCATTATTTAGGAAATAGGTGGGAAGGCATTGGTGGCACCACCTGAAGTATGGAACAAAGTGAATGGTTATAGGAGTGACTGTTTTGATAGCCTCAAAACTGTTGAGCTTCCATATCATAGCTAGTAGTCTTTCTGTCCCTATTGTCTACACCATCACTCAACCAATGGAAATAACATGGTCTTTCAGACAAAAACTAATTCAAGGCTGACTTTGCTACTTCAAACTGTGAACTTGGGTAAGATTCTTAACTTCTCTGAACCTCAGTTTCCTCATCTGTAAAATAGGAATAATATATAAATGACAACATTGAAGAGGTATTAGCAGCCTAAATAAAAAGAATACATTTAGAGCACCTAGCACGGTTGTGGACACATGTAAGTGCTCAGTGAATGGTAATTATTATTCTTGTTGTTATAATATTGATTCTAATGTATTTTTAAAAAGCCCCTAAGAAAATGTCTAGAATAGAGTATGCTTAGTATGTAGTAGTAATGGTTACTTTATTTTGATTGTTACAAGAAACCTTTAAAACTAATATAAGGCCAGGCGCGGTGGCTCACGCCTGTAACCCCAGAACTTTGGGAGGCCGAGGTGGGCAGATCACGAGGTCAAGAGATTGAGACTATCCTGGCCAACATAGTGAAACCCTGTCTCTACTAAAAATACAAAAATTAGCCAGACATGGTGGCACGTGCCTGTGGTCCCAGCTACTCGGGAGGCTGAGGTGGAAGAATCGCTTGAACCCGGGAGGCAGAGGTTGCAGTGAGCCGAGATTGTGCCACTTCACTCCAGCCTGGGGACAGAGCAAGACTCCATCTCAAAAAAAAAAAAAAATAGCATAAATATTCTACCCAGCACCATACCTATAAAGGAGCCTAACTAAACCAGGGCCTAAACTGCCGAGACCCAACAAAGGTGAATCTTTAACCCACAGCCTCAATGCCAGCAGTTGTCTTGGACTTTCTTATTTTCATAATCCCTTTTGCTCTTCTATTATCTGCCGTGTTCCTTGCCTTCTTACTCCTGATTTCTCAGCCTGGCCTTGCACTCCTACCTCTGTACATGTCCCTAAGGACCATGGATCAGGTGGCCAGCCCAATCCTTCTGTTTTAACTTGGGGACTGTGTACATGGCTTACCTTATCTTCGACTCTCACAAACTCCTGCCTTTCCCCTGCCTCTGCTGGGCTCTGGATGCCCAACAAGGGCTTGGACAAAATCTAGCCATGATCTGGGTTTGGCCATTAGGAAGTCCTTGATCATTTTCTTTAATGTATTACTTCCAAATATCTATTTGGTACCAAATTCCATCTTGATTACTTAATTCTGCTCTTTAGATGATCTCCCTTCATCTCTGCTGATTTATTTTGCTTATAAGAAGATTCTAAGATCATTCATCTTGTCCTAATGGTGAGAAATCTTCTGCTCATAGTATTAGCAATATTTTGTTGATTCTGACTGTCACTCTCTGGCACATAATTTTTATAAAGATTGCTTTACAGGATGTCTCAGTCTGTTTTATGTTGCTATAACAGAATAATACAGACTTGGTAATTTATAAAGAAATAATTTTTTTTCTTAACAATTTTTTTTTCTCTCATTCTGAGAACTGAGAAGTCCAATATCAAGGTGCTGGCCTCTGGTAAAGGCCTTTTTGTTGTGTCATCTCATGGGGGAAGACAGAAGGGCCAAAGAGCATGTGAGAGAGCAAGAGAGAGCTGAATTCACTTTCATCAGGAACCCACTCCTGAGATAATTAACCCACTTCTGTGATCATAATATTACTCCCTTCACGAGGGCTCTGCCTTTTAAAGGTTCTACCTCTCAACACTATTGATTAGGGATTAAGTTTCCAACACATGTACTTTGGGGGACACATTCAAAGCACCAGAGGGCCTGGTCTAATGATTAGGAGAATCATTGACCAATGGGTAGAACAGACTGAAACGCTTTTGGCAAAACTGCCCGGGTCTGTGCCAAAATGTCTAGAGAGGAGAGACCAAAGATCTTGCCAAAGCCCTTAGTCCCACTGCTGGCCCATGAATTCTGCTAGTTAAAGGGTTCAGCCAGCTTTAATTAAAAGCTTGATTCTATAGTTAGTTGCTTGATATCTATGCTATTTCTTACCCATTTGAATTCTGCAGACTTCCGTAACCTATTACCAAGCGCTATTTAATACAGGTTGAGCATCTCTTATCTGAAATGCTTGGGAGCAGAAGCGTTTCCATTTTGATTTTTTTGGGGGGAATTTGAAATATTTGCATTATACTTATTGGTTGAGCATCCATAATCTGAAAATCCTAAACGCTCCAATGAGCCTTTTTTAAAGCAATCATGTTGGTGTTCAGAATGTTTTTTAATTTTGGAGCATTTTGGATTTCTGATTTTCAGATTAAGCATACTCAACCTGAATATACACTTCAGCAAATCCTTGTCAAAGTCCAATAAATATGCTGGCTTAGCTCTCTAAACTGTAATTTCCTGTCATGCAGAAGCTTCCTGATAACAATTAGTAAACTGTGGTCATGCTGTCTGTGCCCCTTGGGATCTGAATAGATTTTCATTCCATGCAGAGAAGTGGACAGGTCGAATGCTTAAAAGAAAATACATACCCACACTCCAGTAAAAACAAGCCAACATTTATTTCAGGGTCATTCCATCAGGCAAAAAGGCTGCCTTTTAGCTGCTTCGATGCTTTGTGAAACCTTTCAAGCTAGGAAGAGAGTGATTCTGGTTTGTGTGGCTAAAACACTAGAGAGGATGATTGGTTTCATTAGTCAGAGAGGAGTGATAATATGCTGCAATACTTCTCCAGTTATTGGGCACTTTATGCTAATAACTCATGATGGCTTGAGTGTTTAGGTATATATTTCAAACTCAGTGTAAAATACCATGCCATTAAGAATTTAAACACATTCTAATTTAATTATGGCCAAGAGCTGGTTCAAGCAATCTTGTGTTTTTGTTGGCTAGTTTTAGTATTGCAAATTTCAAATACAGAAAGATTTATTTTCTTTTACTCTTTGCTGTATTTAGTCTGGATTGTTAGAAACCTTAATCATTTAAAAGAGCACAGATTTGGAAAATGAAGTGTAATTGAAGTTATGGAAAATTGTATTTTTCTTCAATACTATTTTGTTTTCCATTTAGAAATGTGCCAAATTTTTCCTGCCCATCATAGATTGATTACTCACATGTTCTTTTTACCTTCTTTTTGTCCTTAAATGACTTTTCCATTCTTTGAGCAGCTACACTGTTGTCACGAAATTTTTCTGCCACAGCCTAAAGTGAAAAAAAACCCTACCAGTTGAAAAATATATCAAAGAGATTATCATTTAATCACCATCCAACTCAACTTGGGATATAACAAATTGAGATGATTTCCTGGGTCCTGACTTCCGGGGGCTCCTGTATAGTGACTTAGCCAGGCTACTGTAAGGGGGCTGTGGGGGAAGAGTTGGCACAGGACAACTGGTAGTAAATAATATCTGGGCTTATGTATAAATTAAGACTACCTTGTCCTATGGTTCCAGAAGCCTTCAAGACACTCTTCATACTAACTCCTTTTGGTTTTCTTTGATAATCAATTTAACTAGCTTATATAAAAATATTTTTACAAATAAAATGAGGGCAAGAAAGGGGTTCCTGTTGTGGGATTTCCCTTAAATCTGAACACCCTGAATCGCTTAACCTGGACTCTTCAACTTCTAGGTATTAACTTGGTTATCAAAGGCATTTGGGGAACTGATGAATGGTATGCATTTAATGCCTATGCTTAGTTTATATTCCTGATGGCAGCTTTTTAGGGTCAATCCTCAGTTCTCTGCTATCTCTAGCATGGAGACCTTGTGATCTCCAAATGCAGTAGGCAATAGGCTCCTTAAATGTAAATCTTGGGTCTTTGAGTTCTCTGTGACTTTAAATTGGTAGCAAGCAGTGAAATGATGGATCCCTAGGGTGGGACAGTATGTCCCAATAATTTTGTATTATGTTATTTAATTTTGAAAAAAAAAATAGAATATTTAACTTGGAAAAAGTACAAGCACGTCAATCTGGTTTTCTTATACAAACTACAAAATGAGAAAAATAATTGGTTGGTTGAAATATGAAGATAAAAAATTGTAAAGATTTAGATACAGCTTTAGGGATAGAATGGAATTATCTTCTTAATTAGCCTATGAATTAGCTTCATAATTATATAATATGTGTAAGTTATAGATATACATATATATGTATCTGTATATATATAATGTATAGAGGCCATTTTATCCTCCAGGTTTTTTAGTTAGCCATTTATAAATGTTTTTTCCATGTGGCTTCAGAAGGCTTCATGTGTTATATGTCTAATAGATGAGAGCTATCCCATTGAGTTGCTATAGAATAATTTTCTTGAACTTTATGCCCTGTTCAATTTTTGGTGTGAGATTTTTGAGTAAAGGGTAATAGACAGAATGATAACTCTTGCTTTAATGGCCTTATTGACCAAAAAGCTGGCCCAAATTTACATGACAATCAGCATAGAGAAGTGAACCAATTTTCAATTTGACTTTACCAGCACATTCCCTCCTAGAAGCCACTTTCAAAATATTACCTCCCACATTGCACACTCCCCTTACCACAAACACCCACAGCCATTTCCTGAGGCTTGTCTCTATAGGACACCAAAACATTTAAGGGAAAAGTAAAATGCTCCAAATGCTTCCCAGATGTCTGAATGTGTGGCATAATTTGGCATCAAAATGATTGGAGTTTTCATTTTCCAACTAGATGGTTTGGTAACATGCAAATGCAACCTTAATCTAGTAAGTAAGTTTCTTTTGTTTTTCTCAAGTAGACAAATTCATAAAGTATTTAATGAACACAAACTATGCACCAGGTACAGTAGCAGGGATTAGAAAGCTTTAGTAAGTATGGGCCCATAATGAAGTGTATGCTTTCATGAAAAGTATGCATACTGCATGTATGGTACAAATATAGTAAATATTCATGCTTTTAAACAAGAAGATTGTATTTGTTATACACCTCTTTAAATTGATAAGTTTAGTATATTAGATTCTGGGCAATGTATCAATTATCTATCAAAATATTTTTCACATGTCAGAGGACAGAAAATGGAGACAAGGCAGGAAGAAGTCCAAGATTGTGAGAAGAGGGCAAGACAGAAATGTGCTACCCTGTTCTCAGTGGCTCATCTTCCACCCTCCAGGCTGTAAGAATGTTGAGTTGTCCTGCTGGTGTGGACTCATCTCAAGGAGATACAAAAAATAAAAAATTGTTCTCATCACCTCCCCTCGTCAGGATTGTTGTTCTGATGTCTGGTTATTCCAATCATACAATCTTGGTGTAAGAGGCAGACTTAGAATCTATCAATGAATATGTATCCAGTGCTACTCTGATCAAAGCATTTCTTTGCTAGAGAATACCCATGTGTCCAACTCCAACACACGCTATAGGTACGTGGCTAATTAGAAAGCTCTAGCGCACTGGTCCTTGATCTTTTTGGCACCAGGAACTGGTTTTGTGGAAGACAGTTTTCCATGGACTGGGATCGGGGGACAGAGTTTTAGAATGAAAGTGTTCCACCTCAGATCATCAGGCATTAGTTACATTCATATAAGGAGCACACAGCCTCAATCCTTCACATGCACAGTTCACTGTAGGGTTTGCACTCCTGTGAGAATCTAATGCCACTGCTGATCTGACAGGAGGCGGAGCTCAGGTGGTAATTCTTCCTCAGCTGCTGCTCACCTCCTTTTGTGCGGCCCAGTTCCTAACAGGCCTTGGACCCATATTGGTCTGAAGCTTGAGGGTTGATGACCCCTGGTCTAGAGGGAATAATCTGACTTGATTATAGGACCTCCAAGTGATGAGAGGCTTTAAGCTTAGTCTGTCACACTCCTTTTCAGGGTGAAAAATCAGAGACTCGAAGGAAGAAAGTAATTGGTTCAAGGTGACCACAACTGTTGATGTCAGGGCGACAAACAAAAAACATAGTCCTCCCATCTGTTGGTCTCCTGGATGCTTGTTTTCTTTTCCACCACTTGATGCTCCGTGTTCACTCCCTAGTGAGGAAGAGGCATAAATGGGAAGAAGTGAATGATTATGTGGAACTAATTTTATCTATTAAGCAACCTCTATTTCCCAGATTCCACTTCTGTGGTAGATGGCAAAGATGGCCCCAGGTCTTTACTCCGTCGTGTATCCATATGATTTACTATGCAACTCTGTGGCTTTTCTTATCAAGAGGCAGTATCCATTGCCAACAGCTTGAATTTAGGCTGGCCTTGAGACTGGCTTTGACTCATGGAGATTACCAAAGTCTCACTGTGCCACTTCTGAGCCTAAGCCTCAAGAGGCTTGAATGCTTCTGCCCTCTCTTGGAAATGTGCCAACATCTTGAGATTAAGCCTAGGTAAACACACAGCTCAGTCTCCCTTGTCATCCCAGACCGCAGCTATCCTAGACCAGCCACTCCACAGCCCATCTGCCACCTGACTGCAGTCTTATGAGTGAGTCCAAAAGTCAGCCATGTCTGCCCTAGGTCAGCTACACCACCCAGCTGGGCAATAATAAATGCTACTGTTTTTATCCAGTGAGTTTTGGAGTTTTTTTTTTTCTCAACAATAACAACAGATACAACTATAATGGTGTCTAGTCATGTGATCTTGATTTTGGTACATATTTTTCAAGTCTCTGCATTCTGAAGGGTAGAAAAAGTGTCTGGCACACATTTATCCTGGCTCAGCTGGATTTATGCAGCTTTCAAAAACTGTGGCACCAACATAGGTGTTGTCCTGGTGTGGTATCTCTCAGAGAGAGGCTCCTAGGAGGATGGGGTTAGCAGCTAGAGGGCTATAATGAAGCCAGGGGTCATGCAGCTTCTGGTACTCTGGTTCACTGAGTCTTTGCTTATGGGATCCCCCATGGACTTCAAAGGTTTGTCCTACTTAATACTCAGATGCAGACTGCTAGGGACTGAATTGTATCCCTCGACACCCTCAATTACATATTGAAGCTTTAATGTGATGGTATTTGGACATGGGCCTTTGGGAGGTGATTAGCTTTAGGTGAGGTCATGAAGGTGGGGCCCTCATGGTGGGATTAGTGCCCTTAAAAGAAGAGACACCAGAAAGCTTGCTGTCTCTTTCTTCCGTATGAGGACAGAGTGAGAAGGCAGCCCTCTGGAAGCCAAGAAGAGAGCCCCCACCAGGATCAGACCATGCTGGCACCCTGATCCCAGACTTCCAGTCTGCAGAACTGTGAGAAAATAAACGTCTTTTACTTAAGCCACCAGTCTATGGCATTTTGTTATGGCAGCCCAAGCAAACTAATACATAGCTGTTTCTAGTTAGACAGATGTTTGGCATTGCTTCAGGGGAAAATAATCTGAATGGGCAAATGCATTTTTGATCCAAAATGTTTTCAAAATGTGAAGAGTTAGCCCATATGTGCTTGTGGCTGTCCCGGGGAGTAGTTTCTGGGCAAAGGGAGAAATTTCATGAGGGGCCAGAAGAAGCTTCCTTCTCTTCCATGCCAGGAAAGCACATGTTTCTTTTTGGAAAGAGGGTGACAGAAATCTACATGCAAGTCACTGGCCCATGGAGATTTATGAAAAGCATATAACCCCCTCTTTTAGCTGTAAACTGACTATAGTAAGCAACCCCCCTGCTAGTATGTGATTGTCTTCCTTCTTTCAGATACTGGTAGCCTCTGTTGAATTTGTGATTGAAAATTGCAATAAGTAAAGTCTTCACAAAGTCAAATGAATGAGAAGCAAAATGCAAAAAAGAGGAAAAGTGATGACTAGGACTTGTGCCAAGCAGAATTCCCAGTACCCACTCAATTGGCGGGTCTTAAGGCATAAATATTAGGCATAGACAATTGTGCCCCACTGAGACTTCCTCCATTTCCTGAAAACCAATTATTCTGTTAAACAATTCTAAATTTCTCATGTGTGACTTGGGGAGTCGGGTTTTATGACCACACAACTGCAGGTTGAGCAGTTTTTCTGTACATGCCAGATCACAAATATTTTCAGCTTTCCTAGCTATGAATGCAATAATAGCTCAATTCTACAGTCATCTCATGAAAGCAGCCATATACGATGCTTGAATGAATGAGTGTGGCCATGTTCCTAAAACACACCTACAAGACGTGACAGGCTAGATTTGGCCTGTGGGCTGTGTGTTTGCCAAGGCTTGCTCTACTGAGGTAAAGGAATCAATGGCCACAAGGTGCTTTAAGCAGTGCCTATAACATGGTGATCTCTTCTGAACTGTTCGCTATTGGTTTTCCTTGCCTGGCATGGAGCAAGACAGCAGGGGCTGTGCACTAAGAAGAGTGGGTTAGGAAGGAGGAAATTTAAGACTCAGTCAAATAAATATAAGAACAGGGGTAAATTGGGTGGAGGCACATGTAGCCCCAGAACTTGGTAGAGAAGTAATTTAAAGAATGTAATTCTCTTGTGGTGCCAGGAAATTAACATGTCATGTCCCATCATGAAATAAGCTATCCTCCCTTTCTCTTCCATGTTAGCTTTATGAACTAACCGTTTATAGACATTCTGCATGCATAAACTCCCCTGATACCCTGTACTCCACTGTATCCAGCAGAATTATGAGTCTATCATTGTGACAAGACAAAGCAAACAGAGCTTTAAATCTCAAGGCATATCATCTTGCATGACCCAGATTGTGTCCACACTGATGTTGTGTCCAAAATTCTTACATGATTTACAAATCTTTTCACTCCATTCTGGTTGCATTGGCTCAATTCTGGATGCATTGCTATATAGCTTTGTGCAGGTGTGTGAAAACATTTGAGCATGATGAATTGTTTCTTCAAGAGCCAAAAGGTAAATGATGAAAGAATTGAATAGAAAACATGTTAACAAGATATTTTATATTAGCTCTAAGGAGCTAGATCAATTACTATGACATGTTACATGTTCAGAAGTCAGGAAACTCTGAATTATGGTTCCCAGTATGAAAATAACTCAGCCCCTTTGCACATGCAATATTTTATATGACTGTATATGGTGTTAACTTTAATGCTTTAACATCTATGCTTAATGTGGCAACTATAAATTTGAATTTCTTGACTTTAGAGGTTATAACATTTAACCATACAGCTGCATTGACATACTTACTTCATTCAAATATTTCTTGGGATAACAGTATGAAAAATAACTCTCCTATATGTATGAACCTGGTCTTTTTAATTAACATGAAGGATAAAAAAGAGTGTGGTCTTGTCAGTGTTTAGGTCTGTGGACCTCTCTAGATCATTTGAACTAAGTGGCTTGTGACTGAACAACTTTCACTTCCTGGTGGTTTCTACATCAAATCATATCTTGAGGAAGAAGGATTTCCTGAACTTTGTTGTGTTATTTATTTTAGGAAGTTTGATCATCCTAGAGGTTATATGAAAAATGTAAGACATGTGAAGAGCTTAATTCCAGGTTGCAATATTTACACTATAATAACCACGAATAGAATCCCCTTCATTTTAAAATCCAACAGGAGAGTCAGTTAGGAGATTTATAAATTATAAAATTCTGCATGGCTGAGGTATAACAATTTTTTCTCATTAAGAAAACTGATATTGTGGCTAAGTGTGGTAGCTCAGACCTATAATTCTACCACTTTGGGAGGCTGAGATGAAGGATCCCATGAGCCGAGGAGTTTGAGAAAAGCCTGGGAAACATGGTGAGACTTGTTTTTCTCTGTCTCTCTGTCTCTGTCTCTGTCTGTCTGTCTGTCTTTCTCTCTCTCTCTCTTTAAAGAAACTGGTATCAGGGGCACTTGTTTCTTCTAGATATATTTCTTTGCTACCATGTGCACATTGTTTTATGCAAGAACTTTCTTTAGTTTTAGGAAAATCCATCTCTCTTTTCCTCATTCCCACTATTCAGGGATACAGCTTTCCCTGGTTTTAGCAAATAGGGTGTGAGACAGCTGTTCGGACCACTCTTGGCAAGAAGCCGGAAGAGCCAGGAGGGAGTCTGTACTCTTAAACCACTTTGCTATTATAACTACTCCCAAGTTTCTTGTTCTTGAGCCAGGTACTCACCCTCTCCACACAAACCTACATGTAGGTACAGTCAGTATGGATCTTATTTCATAAGATCAGGTGTACAGGAAATTTGGTTTTCTTTATTTTCTTTAAATTGATTAAATTTTAACTCCCAGCACCCATTCTACCAGGCTGTATTATATGCTGCTCACAAGAGCCATATTTTAAGTATAAGGATATAGAACAGTTGAAAGCAAAATAATGAAAGGTGATATTGACATAGTTTGAATATATGTACCTACCAAATCTCATGTTGAGTTGCGATTCCCAGCGTTGGAGGTGGGGCCTGATGGGAAGTCTTGGGGTCGTGGGGGAAGATCCTTCATGGCTTGGTTTGGTGCTGTTCTCATGATATTTGGTTGTTTAAGTTTGTAGCACCTTTCCCCCACTCTCTTGCTCCTGCTGTCACCCTGTAAAGAGCTTGCTCCCACTTCACTTTCTGCCATGAGTAAAAGCTCCCTAAGGCCCCCCAGAAGCTGAGCAGATGCCAGCCCATGCTTTCTGTAAGCCTGCAGACCTATGAGCCAATTAAACCTCCTTCCTTCCTTCCTTCCCTCCTTCCTTCCTTCCTTCCTTCCTTCCTTCCTTCCTTCCTTCCTTCCTTCCTTCCTTCCTTCCTCTTTCTCTCTGTTTCTCTTCCTCCCTCCCTCCCTTCTTCCCTCCCTCCTTCCCTCCCCCCTCCCTCCCTCCCTCCCTCCCTCCCTCCCTCCCTCCCTCCCTTCCTTCCTTCCTTCCTTCCTTCCTTCCTTCCTTCCTTCCTCTCTCTATCTGTCTCTCTATCTCTCTCTTTCAATAGAGTCCTGCTCTGTTGCCCAGGCTGGAGTGCAATGTGCGATCTCAGCTCACTGCAACCTCTGCCTCCCATGTTCAAGTGGTTTTCCTGCCTCAGCCTCCCAAGTAGCTGGGATTACGGGCACATGCCATCACACCTGGCTAACTTTTGTATTTTTAGTAGAGATTGGGTTTCGCCATGTTCACTAGGCTGGTATTGAACTCCTGACCTCAAGTGATCCATCCTTCTCTGCCTCCCAAACTGCTGGGATTTGCAGCATCCTGGATGAGACTGAAGACTATTATTCTAAGTGAAGTGAGTCAGGAATGGAAAACCAAACATCCTGTCTTCTCACTGATAGGTGGGAGCTAAGCTATGAGGATGCAAAGGCATAAGCATTATACATGGACTTTGGGGACTTGGGGGAGATAGGTGGGGGGGGCGGCGAGGAATAAAAGTCTACAAATATGGTGCAGTGTATACTGCGCAGTTGATGGGTGCACCAAAATCTCACAAATCACCGCTAAAAAACGTACTCATGTAACCAAATAGTACCCGTATCCCAATAACTTATGGAAAAAAAAGTAAAATAAAAAATGTAATACTAAATTTTTATGACCCTAATAGTAAAAATCAAAATATATAAAGTGAAGTAAAAGGAGTTATTGGCAAATCCACAATTACAATTGATTTGTTAGAACAAATAGCCAAATCTATTAGAATAAGCAATTATTCTAATACAACTGCGGTTAGAATTTTGACACAACTGTTAGAATCCGTAGACAAACAATAAATAAGGATGTAGAAGAGTTTATCAACATTGTCTACCAACTTGACTCAATTGACATGTATAAAATTCTTCACTCAGCAACTGTGTAAGATAGATTACTTTCAAGTACACACAGAACATTTATTTAGCAAATACTGACCACATGCTGGGTAATAAAATAAGTGTCAACAAATATCTAAAGATTAAAATCGTGCATAGTTTATTCTCCAACCATAGTGAAATCAAGCTAGAAATAAATGCAAAATGATTACTAGAAAATGCTCAAATGTAAATGGAAATTAAGCAATACACTTTCAAGTAAATCCATGGGTCAAGAGAAGAGATCACAATAAAACTTAAAAACTTTTTTTCACTGAATGATAATGAAAACATAACATAGTAAAACTTCTGGGATAAATCTAAATAAGTGATTTGAGGGAAATCTATGGCTTTACATGAACATGTCTAAGAGGAAAGGCTGAAAATCAAAGGTGTTACTTTACATTTCAGGAGGTTAAAAACAGAAGAGAAAATTAAAAGGAAGGAAAATGGAAGGAAATGATAAAGAAAAAAATCAATGAGATACAAAACAAATATATAATAGAGAGAATCAACAAACCAAAAGTTGTTTTTCAAAGTATTCTAATGAAATTGAGAAAACTCTAGAAAACTAATAAAGCAAGCAAACACAAATGACCAATATCAAGAATGAAGAAAGGAATTAGCGTAGAGGTCCTGTAGATATTCAATGTGTAATGAGAGGGAATTATGAACAAATAACGCCATAAATTAAAAAATTTGACAAGATGAACAAATTCCTAGAAAAATTTAACAAAGCTGAAAGAAAAAAGTAGACAATCTGCATTTTCTAGTTTAATTTTAACAATTGAATGTGTGATGAAAATTCCCCCAAAGACAATGAAGGGCTCAGACGACTTCAGGACTAATTCTTTTCTAAATATCTAAGAAAGAATTCACACCAACCTTTCACACACTCTTTTACAAAATAGGAAAAGAGACATCACTTCCCAACTTGTTTTATGAAGATGAAGATAGAATAATTTATATGCCAAAATTTGATAAATGTATTATTAAAAATTCAAAATCACAGATCAACATTTTTTATGAACAGAGATACAAAAATTCTAAATAAAATACTAAGGAATGCAGTATGATTAATATATATAAACTGTGCATACACACACACACACACACACACACACACACACACACAGCACTACTGCTGTCAAGTTGAATTTATTCCAAGAATATAGGCTAGTTTAAAAAAATTAATGTGATTCATAATAGTAGAATAAAAGAAAAAAGCTTATATCAACTTCATAAAATTCAGTACTCATTCATGATTAAAAATACTTTTAGCCAACTAAAAACTGAGGGAAATTTCTTTCTTTTTTTTTTTTTTTTTGAGGAAGGGAGGAAGAGGGGAGGGAGGGAGGGAGGGAGGGAAGGGAAGGAAGGAATTCAAGCAATGAGAGAGACATTGCAGACCTGGATCTAGAGGTTTACAAGTTGATTTCTTTTTTTTTTTTTGAGTGAAGGAAAGAAGAAAAAAATGAGTAAAGGAGAAGAAGAAAGAGGAAGAGAAAGAGGGAGAGTGAGTGGAAATATTGCTTTATTCTTAAAAAAGAATGGGTATTAATAATGGCCAATCAATGTTTCATTTAAACCTCTGAGTACGTGTGATGTGGTATTGACTAGAATGTTTATTTTGTGTATTTGAAGTGGAGAGCTCTATAAATATTTATTAAGTTTACTTGTTCCAGATCTGAGTTCGAGTCCTTGATATCCTTATTAATTTTCTGTCTCATTGTGTCTAAGTCTCTATGTATCTGGGTGTTAGGATCATTAGCTCTTGTTGTTGCATTGATCCTTTTACCACTATATCTTTGTTGCTTTAAAATCTATTTTATCCGATACGAGAATTGCAACTCCTTCTTTTTATTTATTTATTTATTTATTTATTTATTTATTTATTTATTTATTTATTTATTTTTGCTCTCCATTTGGTTGGTAAATCTTTCTCCATCCCTTTGTTTTTTTTTGCCAATCAGTTTGAGCTTATGAGGTTGCTCAGGTTAGCCTTGAACTCATGACCTCGCCTTTGCAAGCACCATGACCTCCGGCGGGAGCCACTTTGGACCCCGGAAATTTCTTAATCTAAAAGGTATCTGTAGAAAATCTAGAGCAACATCATATTTAATCATAAAATATTAAGTGTCTTCTCCTGAGGTAGGGAATGAAATAGGTTGATTACCATTACTTCTCCTATATAACATTGTACTGAAGAGCTAGCCAGTGGAATAAGGAAAGGAATGAAATAAAAGATATACGGATTGGAATGGAAGAGATTAAAATATTTTTTTGATGAAAATATTATTCAGTTTGTAGAATATTTGAAAAAATATTATCAATCAGAGAATTTTGCAAAGTCATTGAATGAATGTAAGGTCAGTATGCAAAGTGTTTCTATAAATTAGCAAGAAACATTAAAAAATCACTTTAAAATAATACCATTTTCACATGAAAACTATTAAATATCTAGAAATAATGCAAGATATGTATAACCCCAACAAAGAAAACTATAGATGATTATTGAAATAAATTATACAAGAACTAAATAATGGAGAAATATACCATGTTCACGGATTAAAAGACTTAAAATTATAACAATTTCAATTGATTTATAGATCAATTCAATGCAATCCCAATGAAAAATCTCAGCAGGTTTTTCTTTTCATGAAAATTGACAAGCTATGTCTAAAATTTATATAGAAATTCAGAGACAAGAATAAGATCAATAATCTTGAAGAATAACAAAGCTAAGAGATTTATAATACCAGATATCAGATTTTACTATAAAGCAAAATGAATTAAAATGTGATAATGGTGGCACAAGCACAAAGCGTACAACAGAATAAGAAATACAAATATAGACTCTCACATATGTGATCACCTGATGGATAATACAGGCATCATTGCATTGCAGGGGTGAAAGGAATGCTTTTTTAATAAATGTGTTCATTTCTAACCACCAAGGGAAAAAAATAAATCTTTACCTCTATTTAACACCTATACAAAATGTCAAATTCAGAGGGAACAGTAACCTAAACATAAAAGCTAAGACAATAAAGCTGTTCGAAGATAACATTTGAGAATGTCTTCAAAATCTTAGGGTTAGGGAAAATGTCCTAAACAGAACACAAAAAGCATATGTTTTGGCATGTAAATTATTCCATCTTCATCTTCATAAAACAAGATGGGAAGTGATATCTCTTTTCCTATAAAATGTATGATTTATAAATTGCACTACATTAAAATTAAGAACTTCTGCTCATCAAAAACTTTAGTAAGGAAGTAAAAAGGCAAGCCAAAGGATAGATATATATGCAATACAAACAACAGAGAAAGGATTCATGTCTAGATTTAAAAACAACAGAAACACAAACAGCTCTTGCCTTAGCCTGCTTGCCTGCTTGGGTTGCCAGCACAATACACCATAGACCGCATGCCTTAAATAGCAGAAATTTATTTTCTCACAGTTTTGGAGGCTGAGAAGTACAAAATCAAGGTCTGGTGGGATTTGGTTGTTCCCGACTTGCACATGGCTGCCTTTTTGTATCCTTACATGGTGGAGAGAGAGCGAGAGAGAGAGAGAGAGAGAGAGAGAGACAGGAAGAGACAGAGAGAGAGGGAGGCAGAGACAGAGATGGAGAGAGAGAGAGGCAGAGAGACAGAGAGAGAGGGAGAGGGGGAGAGAGAGAGGCAGAGACAGAGACGGGGGAGGGAGAGAGAGAGAGGCAGAGACAGACAGACAGAGAGAGAGAGGCAGAGAGAGAGAGAGAGAGAGGCAGAGAGACAGAGAGAGAGGGAAAGAGAGAGAGAGGCAGAGACAGAGAGAGAAAGAGAGAGAGAGGCAGAGACAGAGAGAGAAAGAGAGAGAGGCAGAGACAGAGATGGGGGAGGGAGAGAGAGAGAGAGGCAGAGACAGAGACGGGGGAGGGAGAGAGAGAGAGAGGCAGATACAGAGACGGGGGAGGGAGAGAGAGAGAGGCAGCGACAGACAGA